TAGATGAGCTGTAAGGTCCTTTCCAACCCAAACCAGGCTGGGATTCTAGGATTTAGCAAACCTGCAAAGAAATTGAGCTGCTTCTGCACAAGACTAAGGCATCCTGGAACCGTGCAACGGGAGATGCTGCTATACCAAGAGACTGAAGTCAACCCCAGCTCTACTGCCCCAAGGGGGACACCTAAAAGAATGCCTTTCACATGCAAGTCCTCCAAGACCTCTGTGCTTGCTGTGGGGATGCTTCTGCACAGCTAATGTAGACACAGAAGAACAAAGATGACTCTGCTCTGTGTGACAGACACGTAGATTGAAACCCCACATCCAGAATTCCTCCATGTTGACTTCACAAGCACAGACCACCCCTCTCAGCTTTCAAAGTGAAGGAGAAGTCTGTATCTGTGGTCCTTGAAAACATTTAGGAGCTCCTGGCCTCAAGTTTTATATATAAATCAGAGATGCCTTTGCAGGAGCCTGCAGGAAGCCAACAAAACCACATCTCCTACATGCCCAGCTTCACCCCCACGGAATGAGATCCACTGAACTCAGCAGGAGCAGCCACTTGCAGGCAGAGAGACAAAAAGAGGTTTAGCACCTGCCTACAAAGATCCACAACTGGTCAGGGGCAGGTTTGTGGGATGAGCAACCTGGCACCACAAAACCTGCAGACTGGTTATTTGCACCCAAGGGCAGGGTTGAAAGAAGCCACTGCAGAGGAACTGCCCATGCTGTGAAGAACTTCAGAGCTCCTGCTGCCTGAGGGTCCAACTGCTGCTCCGTGTGGTTGTGCTGTACCAAAATGCAACAGGCACTAAGGAAAACCACCATCTCAGTGTGCATCTGTCTGCATTGAGCAGGCTGGCAGAGAATTAAATAGCAGCCTGAGCTGACAGACTTCATGTCAGGAGAACCAACACTTCGATAGCATTTGGGGGGGAGGAAAAAGAACATGCAGGCACCTATCTGCTTGTTTCAGATTGGAGATGGGCTGGTCGAGTGCTGTAAGTTCTGTTTCTTCTCTCAAACTGCTGCATTTCTGAGTAAAATCCCTTTTGAAGCAAACCACGTTTCTCGTGCTCTTTGAGCATCCACCAGAAGGAAGCAAGTTCCACACAGTTATGGAAAGAAACAGAGAATTCTTTTTTTAACCCTGAATTGCTTAACTTTTCACGGAGAGATGCCATCTTTACCAGCACAGCTTGAAAGCTGGTGTCCTCCACCATCAAGCCACCAGCTTGAGCTAAGGACAAGGGCAAGAGCTGTAACCAGCACTTGTCCTCTGGGGCTTAGCTGCCAACAAGGGACCCACCACATACATTCAGAGGAGAAACTCCAAGGAAACCCCAACATTCCCATATTCCAAACCCCACTGAGCTGCAAATAAGCTCCAAGGCACTTACATAATCTTGTGCTAAAAAGTGTTGGCAGAAACACGCGCATAGGAAAGGCTCTGGAGCAGCACTGCAAAGTACATGGAAATAGCTACCAACTGCACTAGAGGATTTTGCCAAATCAGGAGATGTTCCCTGTTAAACTTGTGCATTTGCAAGAGACCCTGGAAGCCAAAGAAACACTGACTCTTATTGGGAGAGAAAGAGTAATAATAAAAACTACCCTTTCCAAACCAGAGCCTGATTTGAACACAGCTTTGGTCAGAACAGGCAAATACCCAGGCATTATTTTTGGCTTTGAATACTGAACCTTTCAAGACACCAACGCTGTTGGCATTAGAAACAAGGTGATAACCCTCCAATCTGCCATGAAAACGAAGGGCTCTGCGCTGCTCCCACCACCACCACGCTGCTGAAAGCCCTCCAGCTTGTCAATGCCCAGCACTAACTGGCTGAGGCCCAGGATTTCAAGTGGGCCTAGAAACAGCAGCAGATTAAGCACACAAAACAAAGACCACAAATCTGCCCCCCTCCATAAAGTCAGTTCCAGTTACCTGGTGTGTCGGATAATGGGAGAGGAATGAAAGGATCAGGCACAGTCAGAAGAGGAGGGGTAGTGTCCAAACTCAGAATGTCTTTCGTTTTTTCAGCTGGTACCCAGGAAGAGACAAGGCAGAGTGAAACAAAGAGAAAAAAGCAGAAAGCATTGAGCTAAATCTCAGTGTCAAGGTCCAAGCTGTGGCCTGACAACACACACACACTCAGAACCAGTCTGTGCTGCCAGTGAAAAGAAAGAAAGAGGAGAAAACCCAACAAGCCCAACCAGCTATTACTGTGTAGCTCTCCAAACCAACTGAACTCACAGACCTCTAAACGCTCCTTGAAAGGGAAGTACTACTCTCTCACTTTACAGCAGTACAAAAGGTGAAATGCCTTCACAAAAGGCCACACAGCAGCCAGCCCCCATGCTGGGCCTCTTTGTCAGCAACATACAGCACCTTGCACCAGACAAGCTGTATCTATGAGCAAAGAGAAAGAGAAGGGCTAGAAGTGCCCTTCCAAGACACCTTCTTATGAGAGAACTACTAACAGAATCAAACATGTTAAAGCATCCAGAAAGCCCAGAACATGCAGATGCTTCTCAGGCTCTGCAGAAGGTACCTTACAGCTGAATCTGGAGCTGCTGCAACTCAACATCACCCCACAAAGGCTGATGGAAGCAGCCCCCCAGGGCACTCCTGCGTCACGGACTTCAACTCCTTAATTCTCAGGTAAGAGCCAGCACCACCGAGCTCAGTTATAAGCTCCTCTAAATCTCCTTTTATAAATAGAAATAAGCACAAATGGATTTGTCACTTCTTCAGGGCTCCTGGAAGCAGGTTTCCAATAGTGTGCTTGGCAGGTCTGTGCTGCACTCAGTGAGAAGTGATGCTGAACAACTAGACACGAGCAGCACCCACTGAGCTTTTCACAGCATTGAAGGGGCAAAACCTTGGCACCAAAGGAGACACCACATGAGGTCACACATGCAGAGGCCTCTGCATAAAAGCCTCTTAGACCAGCCAAGGACTTGTGGGCTCTGGACCCAGACAGCAGAGCCAGGGCAAAACCTGCCTTCATCATTTAACATGTCAGTTATGACACCCACTGTGCTCGGCCCTGAGGACTTTTCCTGCTCTGCAGTTCTCCCCCTCCTGCAGCAGAGACATTATCATCCCTGGTCCTCTCCTCCTTCATACAACCAAAGAGCTGCAGGCAAGGAACACCTTCCAGCATGGCTGACTTATGGCTCTGAGTCCAATTCCCTTATTGCACACTCCATATTTGACTTCTAATTAATAACTTTTAATACTTCTAATCATGAGCTGCATGGAGCTCCAACACATTAAGATGTTTTCTTGTGAACTTAAGGGGCTCACTGGGTTTCTTCCCTCACCAAAAGCCTCACCTCTGCCTGCAGACAGTGCCTCCTCTCTCTGCTACCCAACTGTGACAAGCACACACCCCATTCCCACCTTCCCCTCTTCACTGAACCACCAACCCTGTCCCACAGCTCCAAAAGCCAAGGCCCAGCCCAATTTCTATCAGGTTTAGCATCCTTTCAAAGAGGCTATGACAAAAAGTTGCCTTTTTGCTGCAGTGCTTCTGCAGGGCATTGCCCTCTAAGACACATCCACACACTCACCTGATCCAGCAGTGAAGGAAGAGCCACCAAATGCATCCTGCTGGGCTGCAGATGAAGCTGGCTGGAAACCTGGAATCAAGTTCTCTGTGGAACTGCCCATCTTTTCTGGAGCTTTCCCTGAAATGCCAGATGCACATTTAGGGGAAAAACTTCCATTCTGAAGGTTGGTTCCTTCCCTAAATATTTCATGATGCTTTTTTAGTATGTGACTGTAAGACCCTCCCTGCAAATCCCAACTCACAAATTAAGCAGGGTTTAAGCTGTAGCTTCTACACCAACTGATCAAGGCTGCTTTGGAAGTGGTTAGTACCTCTCCCTTTGAGGATCATGCTCATTTAATTGCAATGGCTCAGCAAAGAGGACAGGGACTGAGAAGGGCAACTGGAAGGATTTAGCTCTTACAGGCACAGAGGACCATGATAATGTGGGAACTCCCCAGCAGCATCTGACCAAAAGCATCATCATTCCATACCACCTTCTGTTCTGAGAGCAGGCTGGTAGAAAACCATCTCCATGAACCTACCATCACCCAGCTTTGCAAAGTCCTTGTTCAGCAGCTCCTCAGCTGTGAGTTTGGAGAAGTTATCATCATCAAATGGATTCCACGTGGAGACATCGGGCGGGTTATAGACATTCTGCTGGGAGGTCCTTGGGGAACCCGAGGGTGTGGTGGAAGCAGATCTGGATGTGATCATCCCAACCAAACAACAGTCATTAATAACCCATCTGAAACCCTCTGGCCAGCACTATCTGCTGGTCCAAGCTACTGCATTATAGTTACTTCCTACTTAAATCACAAGTTATTGTACTTGCATGCTCAGGCACCTGGGACCAGCTACCCTCACCTACTCTGCATGTGGTTGTGCATGCTCGAGTTGGGGATTAAAACAAGGATCAAACCCATCTGAAACAACTCCCTGCAATGCCTGCGTGGAGGCTTCCTGCCTGTAGACACTCAGACTGGGCTAGTGAGTAGCCCAGGGGAGTGCTGATGCTAAGCAGCAAGTGTGAAGCATGCACCAGGGCTACTGGTGGAAGAGCTGAAACAACATTAGCTTCTATAACCCACAGAAAGGCCCTGTCTGCTTAGCTTTTAGGAAGCATGGAAGCACTTAAGAGGACTTCTGCCCTTGGGGAAGCTTTTCAGCCACTTTCTGCCAAGCCCTAAACTTCTGGTCTTCAGAAGGCAAAGACTCATTTAGACCTCAAGAGTTTGCTGCCTACCTTCATCTTTTTGCCTAGGGAACCTCAAGAACCTCATCTCCCCCCTTCCCTCCACACCCTTTGACACCAAGTGACCAACCACCTACTTGGACTTGTTGAGACTGGCCTCAGCAGCAGCTGCCTGCAGGAGCTGGGTGGACTTGCTGGCTGGAACCCCGAACACCGCGCTGTGGGTCACGTCGCTCAGGATCCTCCTGTGTCCTGCACGCTGGGTCTTGGGGGAGGATGGAGGGGTGAGAGAGCCCAGCTTCTGACCCTGCACTGCTGGAGGGGGCGTCGTCTGAGGTTTTTGCTGTGGCCTCATTTGTGCCTGCATCTAGGAGAGAAAGGAAAGTTGTAGGTCCCTGCTCACGAAGAGCAGGCACGGTGAAGACACCGCTCCGTGCTGAAGGATCCCACCTTCAAGTCATGGACTGGGAATAGTCTGGAGGGGAACAAACACACTAAAGAATTGGGGGCAAGGAGGAATTCAGTGATCCACAGAATTCCAGTATCACTACGACTGCACAAGCAGAGGCTTCTTCCCCTTTGTATGGAACAGCTTCTGGAGGCAAAACCTCTGTTAAGAGCTTGTTGTTAAAGACTGGCTGCTCTCAGGAGCTTGCACATGGATGAAGAGGCTGAGATCCAGGGCAGAGGTAACAAAACATCAGTTCAGAGTGTGCAGTGGTCCTGTTGTAGGGACACAAGGAGCGAGGACAAGGTGAAGAGCAGCGCTTCTTCCAGCAGATAATGTGTGACTGGGGGCAAATCCCTAAAGGGGATAGAGGTTTTCTGCAGAAATCTTGTGCAAGAAGCTTTCTTTTAGGGGGAAAAAACCCCCAAGGACCACAGGAGCAACATGTGTCATCAAAACATGGAGGAGAAACCCAGGCACGTTTGGTTTGGGTATTTTTAAGTCAAGAGAACCAGCTGCAAACCCTTCGGAAACTCCAAGGGCTTTCCTCACACTGATCTTCTTCCATGACCTCAGTCTTGTGTTAAACTCACATACCCTTAAGTACTTGAAATACTGTTTTGCAGTGATAAACAACAGCATCACTTACAACTATGTGACTTTTCAGACTCTGCAGTGAGATGTCAAGGCTGGATTTCAAGGAGGAAACCTGGAATGCAAAGAGCTGTGCACATCACCTCCATTGCCTGGGCACTCCCTGCTCCTCACCCCGTATCCTCCCTGACCATATTCAACCAGGGAAGACAGAGGAAATACTTGGGAATACCTAAAAGGGCAATGAGAAGGAGTTATATCCCAGCAGGGTACTTAACCACAGTGGGGCAAGGCAAGTAAGTGGTTAGCTGCCTTGCTTTTCAGCTGGCATCTTGTCCAGTTCACTGAGAAGCAAACTGACCTGCCTGCTCCTGATGCACCCACCTTACATCTCCCTATACAGGTCACTGCAGAACAGTACATTTGGTGCTGAGAAATCAAAGGGCAGTGCCAAAAACCACCACAGAAATGAATGCAGAGCTGATGAAGCTGAAGCCTCACAATGTGAAAAGGTTCTGATGGGTCCTGGCTTGCTATCTTCTGCTCAAAGGCTCTGCTCTGCAGAGACCATGGTTCACTACCACTTCTTAAATGAGCCCATCACTGCTTTTCCCTCCTGACTGCTGCAGGAGTGGACAAGGGTCCAGATGCATCCATTCAGAGCAGCCTTCCAGGGGGATAAGGTTAATTTTCCATCTAGCTCCTTTAATAAAATTAAGGCTGGTTTTTGTGCTGGTGAATCACAGCAAAGCCCTTTAGAGATGCTTTTCATTATTACGTTTCAAGCATTTCCCCTCTAAAAGGACCAGGATAATAATGGGCCTCATCCAAAACCTGTCTGCATGCACTGAAAATCTCCCACCACCTTCAATAAACTGACTTGCCCCAGGTCGTTCAGAACAGCGACAAGCCCAGGAACACGACAGTTCCAAGGCTGTCACCTCCCCTAAGCACCAGCTTTGCACTTAGAACTGATGTAAAACAAAGGGGTGAATGTGACAGAGCCCTGAGACACGTCAGAGGGTAAAATGCTGCCTCCCCAGCACTGCCTTATGGAGTTTATTAGTCAAATTAATTCCTGATGTCACTTCAAAGGGAACATACTCGAGATTCATCAGGTCCTGGATAACTGGCAAGTTATGCACAAGCAAGCACAGACTGACTTAGTTCGGCCTCAAGCTCTGAGTACCTGAAGTGGTTCATTAGCAGTTGCTTGCTCTGCTACAAGCACTGCAACAGGCAGCTTCCCACTGCTGGAGCCTGCACGTGCTTTCTTTCCAGCACACAACTAGAGTTAGGGCCATCCCTTTGCACTTCCAAAACCTGGGATTGTGCAGGAATGAAAGCAAAAGGCCCAGCTTCCTCCCATATGCACCGAAGAGACACTTTGGCAGCGGGGATCCTGCCCTCTGGCACAGCATCCTGCCTTCACCACTGCGGGCAGCTACTTCCCTGGAGCACACAGATTTTCCATTAAGTAAAGAGCATTTATTTTGGATGCACGTTCAGCTGATTGAAATGGATGATTTCTTTCTTTCATTTTGGATTTTGAGAGGTGTTTTGAAAAGTCTGCTTTCCACAGCATTCATTTTAGAACAAAGTTATCCCAGTGCCAGAAACAACCAGGAAAGGCTGTTGCACCTCCCTCTGCATCAGAGCCCTGAATACGACATGGAAGACTTCCAAACAAGATGCAACACAGAATCCCAGACTGGTCTGGGTTGGAAAGGACCTTAAGATCATCCAGCTCCAACCCCTGCCCCGGGCAGGGACACCTTCCACTAGAGCAGGTTGCTCCAAGCCCCTGTGTCCAACCTGGCCTTGAACACTGCCAGGGATGGGGCAGCCACAGCTTCTCTGGGCACCCTGTGCCAGCGCCTCAGCACCCTCACAGGGAACAACTTCTGCCTCAGATCTAACCTAAATCTTCCCTGTCCCCTATTTAAACCCATCACCCCTTGTCCTGTCACTCCAGTCCCTGATGAAGGTCCCTCTCCAGCATCCTTGTAGCCCCTTCAGACACTGGAAGCTGCTCT